AAGTAGGTCAACGTCGGCGATGACCATCAGGACATGCACACTGCTATGCTTCCCTTTGACAAACGGGTCTCCCAGACGAAGGAGCAGCGAGGAGACGTATTTCCCCCGGGGGTGGGGGAGTATGGGAGAGGAAGTATATCTTCCGAAACGGCGTTTGGATCGCATTGCATGGGCCTCCATCGTTTGGCCCCATTTAGTTATGCATCGTTTGGGCTCGCCGAGCTTCCGGGTCGCATCAGGACCTTTCAGGACCTTCCAGGACCTTCCAGGACCTTCCAAGGCCTTTCACAGGATGTTCTTTGGATGCTGGGTGGAACATTCTCTTCACTGGGGAATCCACCGAAATGATCTCAAGAAAATGCAAAATCGTGTCGTGTTGTTTCGAAAAGTTTGATTTTCTACCACTTCCGATCTTCGGCATTACAGTTCAAATACTGTGTCACATCCGTTGTAATGTGGCACCGTTCTCAAATGGTACAATGCGACGTCACAGTGCTTGAATAACAGTTTTAGGGATGCTCCAAGGACTTTCAGGATGTCTAGAGGCCGTCTCAGTGCCTATCAGACGGGATGGGGACCCTGCGGCGCCGCAAAGCGTTCATTTTGGAGGAAAACGATTTTTCACTCAGATAAGCGTCAAGTCAATAAATGTCAAAGGAGACGGCATTGCTGAAGATTGGGAGGGGCGGAGAGCGTCCAAACGAGACTGGCGTCGAAGGGTCTCCCCGGTCTCTTCGCGACCGAGCGAATTGCTCAAACTAAATCAGAGAGAGAACAGCTAGGAAACGAAGAACACCATGATCTTTGGATCTCCTTTAACTTTATACCGGTGTTTCTTTGAATGCTCTTCGGTGCTTAGGGTTTGCGTTCTGTGTTCGCCCTGGACCCTGCGGCCTTTTGGATCACCCAAAAATTTCGTCCGTCATTCGCCGTTATGAAATTGCCAACTTCAGCCTGTGCTGTTCAAGCTCTCTTAGCGCCTTGTAGGTAGGCAACATCTTGCCGTCAGCGCATGCGTGTACAGCGGGGTGGCCTACCCGGAGTCTCACAGGCGCCGAGCTCCCGTACTTCGGTGAATAAATCGAAATGAAAACGGACGTACTTTCCGGACGACCCCTTAGCGAGCATACAATCATGCAACACAGGAGTGCATTCAAAGAAAATAATTGTGCGTGCTCTTCTGTAGTGGGCTATCAAATGCCAGTAAAAGCAGCAGAGATGGTTTGGGTCCATGCCACGACAGTAGCAGCGGCGAGGGGTGGGTGTGCCGAGGAGAAAGAGGGGAGTTGGAGGGTGCGGGTGGGGCGCCCCAGTGAACCAATACCCTCACGCTCACGCCACTAGCAAACCAACCGATTCTTCCGGAAGTGAATTTATCGGCCAACGGGTGCCCCCTTCGCATCGCGGGTGCGGGGGGAGGGGGGGGGGGGGGTTGCGGCGGCGGCCGTCTGTCCTGTCGGAAGCCAGCGGCAGCTTGTGCAAAGA